CCCGCGCTGTCGGGGACCTGCCGGTCCACGTTGTACGTCTGCCAAGGACACGCGCCAGGCTCAGGGCAGGGGGCAGCTGGACAGAGGCACCTGGCAGGTTGCTCCCCCCCAGCACCCCCTTGCCACGCTCACTAGCATGCCTGAGGGCAAGTGTGGGACAGGCAGGGACCCTGTGCAACCTGTATGCGCACCCCAGGGTGCTTCTGTGCCAGCAACCCGATGGGCATCACTCTGGCCCCATGCCCAGCATCACCCTGGCCCCATGCCCAGCATGGCAGGGATTTACCTTGGAGAGAGCCACGTAAGGGAAAGCATCCAGGGCGAGGGGGGTCTCGGGGCCCAGCTTCCCCTGCTCCTGCCCCTTTAGGATGCGGGTGGCCGTGATGGTGGGGATCCCGAATCCTGGGTGAGGAGAGAGGGTCTTGGTCACCCTCTGGACTGGCTACCCTCCCCGCATCCTGCTCCGTGGGGCACTGGCCGTGCCAGCCTGCCCACCGGGTGTGCCAGCGGGACTCACCGTCCCCGAGGAAGAGGATGAGGTTTTTGGCTTGGCTTATTCTGGGCTGCATCTTGAAGGCGGCCTCGATGGCTGCAGCTGCCTGCTTGTTCCAGAAGGATGGCTTCTCCTCCTCCGCTGGGACAGGACAGCACCTGTCAGTCCCAGCTTGCCAGCACCCACATCCCTGGGGCACCCACATCCCTGGGGCACCCGCATCCCTGGGGGACCTGCTCCCTGGGAATCCCCGTGCTGGGGCCTTCTCTGACATGGACTGAGTGGGTCAGGGTGCTGTTTGGGATGGGGAAAGGCCATGCGGGCTGGCATCCACTGCCCGGTCTGAGGGTCCTGGGACAGAGAAGGAGGGGGCAACAAAAAGGGACATGATGGGGGGAACTATCTGGCAGGTGGGATGGAGCCACATCCATGGAAGGGGGAAGGTTACAGGCACCTTCCCCAGCCCCCCAGCCCAGAAGCAAGCAGGAATCTGACCCCACAGGGGAAAACTGGCTTAAGGTCCCCAGAAAAGCAGGGGTAACCCCCATTAACCCTTGCAGAGCCAGGCAGCCCCTGTTCCCCTCCCTAAACCCTCCCTGTGGCCAGCCAGGCTGGTGCCCTGCCGGGTGCCCCATTTCCCCGGGCACCTGCTGCAGCCAACTGGGCACCCGTCCCCATCCTTGTCCCCACCTGGGATGGTAGCAGTGCTGAGCCCTGCCCAGAGGCCCAGAAAGAGGATGAGGGGTGCCAGGACCCGCATGGTGAGATCCGGTGGCCCAACGCCGCTGTCAGTGTCTCCAACTCTAGCAGATCTGGGGAGGGACTTTGGACCAGGATCAGCCCTCACAGGATGTGTGGAAGGGTTCGGCACGTTTCTGATAGCCTGGTGTCCTGCCAGGCAGCCAGCACAAAGGCCATAGGGCTGGGCTGCAGGCAGCTCCCTGACACACCACCTTATTGCTGCTGGAGGATGGATGGACTTGGGGCACAGATGCAGGGGGTGAGGCGATGGGCAGTGCCTGGCAGGCTGTTGCCCGCCCTGGCTGCGGTGCTGTGATTCCAGGCAGGGGGATGCCCTGGCCTGGGGTGCCACAGGCAGCGCTGAACATTGGACCTGGGGCAATAGGGGTATTGGAAGCACCCAGGGTCACTTGTGCACCGAGCAGCCCTGCTCTCTGCCCAGCACTTCCTTGAGCAATAAATCCACTGATCTGGACTAAAACTCTGCTCCTTGCTCAGCCCTTGCTGGGAAGGTACCAACCCTTGTGTACTGTGCTCCAGCCTGGCAAAGCTGGGGGGGGACATGGCCTCCCCTCACCCTCATTTCATTACCTCCTTCACCCCAATACCTCCAGTGCTGGTCCTGGGGGGGAACTAGGAACCACGACCACCTGGGGAAATTGAGGCACGGGGCAGCACCTTAGGAGGCAACCACCGCTGCAAACCCTCGCACGGCAGATGGAGACAAACTGTGTTTTATTGCATTCCTTGATCCTGGCCACAGTGCAGACCCGGCTGCCGAGACCCTTGATGGGGTGGCCGGGAGTGGCACGGGGGGGGGCCAGGCAGCCCTGGTTGAAGCGGGGCTCGCCGGAGGCTCTCAGCCCCCTACCAAGTGGGCGGCCACGCAGATGGTCAGGAGGGTGAGCAGGGGCTGGGGGGAGTGCTGGGTGCCCTGGGAGGCCCTCCGGGCTGCCCCGCACCGGGGCTCGGCGGCGTAGGGCTCGAGGCAGGCAGCGTAGGCCATGGCATGGGCGATGTAGTGCTGCTCCTGCACCCCGTGGAAGAGGTGGGCCATGGCACCCTGGGCCAGCACCACCACATCCTCCCCGCTGTGGGTCTCCGTCTCCAGGGGCACGGCTGCCTGCTGCCTGTAGTCCTTGTCCTCTGCAGGGTGGGCAGGGGAAATGGGGCTGGAGGCAGCAGGCTCCCCTACCCATCGCAGGGATGGGGGGGCAGCTCCCATCACCTCAGCGTCAGGGCGATTCCTGCCCAAGTGACACCTGAGCCACACGGTGGCACCGGGACCCCGTGCAGCCCCAGTGGCCATGCCCGTGGGATGCTGCCCCCAGCCACCCTGCACCCCCCACCCCATCCCCAGCAGGCTCCTACCTGCGGCAGGGAGGCTGGCGGCCGGGCGGCCCCCATTACGGATGCTGTAGCCAGGCCCATTGCCGTAGAGGATGCTGGTGTAGGCTCGCTTGTCCCTGGCTTTCTTGGGGGCCAGCCCTGGCGCAGGGAAAGGCACTGTCACCCCCCGTCCCAGCCGGGTACCTCTCCCCAACTACCCGCCTTGGCCGGCTCAGCCTCCAGTGGGAGCAAAAGGGGGAGATGGGAACACGGATGCCCGCTGCCCCTCCCTGGGGCCCACCAAAGATAGAGGTGCCACGCAGCGTGTTGCCCCCGAAGGTGAAGACGTGGGAGTGATCGGCTGTCACCACGGTCAGGGTGTCAGAGGGGGAGGTGAGCTCGCCTGCCCGTGCCACCGCCCGGTCCAGCATGACGGCCTCCATCAGTGCCTGCTTGGCCCGGCCGCTGTGGTGGCCGTGGTCGATCCTGCCACCTGCATGGGGAATGCGGCTGTCACCCCCTCCCTGGTCCCCTGGGATACCCACTTTCTCTCAGGACCCGCATCCCACCCCAGCACCAGCCACGCTGTCCGCCTGGAGCTACTCATCTTCCACGAAGAGGAAGAAGCCGTTGGGGTTCCTGCGCAGGATGCGAATGGCCTTTTCCGTCATCTCCACGATGGAGGGGTCCGTGGAGGTGTTGCGGTTCAGCTCGTACTTCATGTCCTTGGGCTCGAAGAGGCCTGGGGGAGTAGGGCAGGGGGTTCCACACCGGGCCGCATCATGCCCTCACCAGCACCCCTGGAGTGGGGAGGTGGAGGAGGTGTTGCCAGTGGCGCAGTCAGTGATGCTCTTACCCATCAGGTGGCTCACGGAGTCATCCTCGACTGCGTCCAGGCCCTTCTTGTCCCAGACGTAGCGGGCGCCCTGCCAGGAAGAACAGAGCCAGTGCCAACAGCCCGTGCCCCGTGCCTGATGTCACGTCCCCTTCACCTCGGCATGGTACCTGCTTGGCACTCAGCCATTTGGCAATCAAGTCCAGGCCGTCCTTCCTGGTGCCATTCTGAGCTGGGTCGTCCGGGTACTCGGGGTCTGGGGTCCACTTGGGGGTCATGTACATCCGCCCGCCACCCAGGATCACCTGCCAGGGAGCGGGGAACTGCCACTGGCACCACCACAGCCCTGCAGCTCAGCAGACCCTCCCAACGTCCCCGGTGTCCCCTCCCTCCCACACCCATTCCCCGGCTCACGTTGATGTCCGTGTTGTGCACCAGCTGATAGGCGATGTCCTTGCAGCCGTCCCGCAGTGCCTCCTTGGGCATGTTGGCATCGGCGTACCAGCTCCGGCTGGCCGAATGGGCATAGGCTGCCCCAGGGGACGCGTGCTGCACCCGTGTGGTCGTCACGATGCCCACCGACTTGCCTGCAGCATGGGCAAGGGTTTACGGGGAGACCGTCCAGCATGGCAGGGGATGGCTGTGCCATGCCAGGCTCTCCGACAGGGATGCCCACTGCCCTGTACCTGCCAGCCTAGCCCGGTGCAGGATGGAGTCCACCTCATTGCCAAAGGCAGTGCGGCATTTGCCGTAGATGGCCGCCCCGCTCAGCCCCAGTGTCTTGGCATTGGCCTTCACCCCACAGAGGTAGGCTGTGCCCGTGCCAGCACTGTCGGGCACCTGCCGGTCGATGGTGTAGGTCTGGAAGCAAGCGGGGGCCAGTGGGGTTTTGAGCAGGGACAGGGTGGCTGCCCCCAGGCGCTGCCCCACTCACCTTGGCCAGGGCCACGTGGGGAAAGGTCTCCATGGCCAAGACGCTCTCCTCGCCCGAGCCACCGGCCAGCTGCCCCTTGTAGATCCGAGCTGCTGACACTGTGGGCAGCCCCATGCCTGCAGGCACGACAGAGCCACGGGGTGGCAAGGGGCAGGGACCGGGGACAGTCCTGCCCTCCCCAGGCATTGCCTGGGGCCGGCCGGAGAGGAGGGGACCTGCACCAGCCCCATCTTCTCACCAGCCACGTCCCCTGGCTGCTGTGGAGCTGTCGAGCCACGGGGCCTGGCTGGGACCGAGGGGACTCACCGTCACCCATGAAGAGGATGATGTTTTTGGCCCGCCGTGCCGCTGGCTGCAAGGCCAGGGCTGACTCCAGCCTACTCCTGGCCCCTTTGTTCCAGTAGTCCGGGCTCTTCTCGGTGTCTGGAGGTGAGAGCAGAGCCGGGGGCATGCAGGGGCACCAGGCACCCTGAGGGTCCCTGGGGCAACCCCCCCAGGGACCAGGGTGGGCATCTCTCCCCAAGGTGAATTTAGCTGCTCTGAGCCACCTCTGTGGAAGCCTTGGAGGGGCCAGGGCATCCGCCCGGCCTTTGGCAACCTCAGCATTGCCCAGAGCCCATCTGCAGAGGGGGAAACTGAGGCACAGTTTGGCAGGGAAGTGCCTTGTGCCTCTCGGCAGCGGGAATGGGGCCTGCTTTGGTGGCGGCTGAGACAAACCCATTCAAAGTTTGGGGTCTCAAACCACTCCAAGCTCCCAAGGTGGCCAGGAGGGTTTGCCCTCACTGGTATCCCATGGGGGGGTGACAGGGTCCCCAGAGACCTCCAGAGAAGTGGCACCAGCCCCAGCGCCCCCCACCAAGGGCTCGCACCCCCCTGTCCCACATGCCCCTGCTCGAGCTGTCACCTGAGGCCGCAGCAGCTAGCTGGGCGAGGAGGCAGAGGAGAAGGCAGGTCCCAGGGGAGAGCGGCCGCCGCATGCTGCTCACCAGGGATCCCTCCCCGAATGCGGCCTGCATCCAGGGTGTGGGGGGGACGACAACCCTTTATGGCCCTTCCTTGTCCTGCCAGAGGGCTGAGCCCCGCCGCGGGCGAGACGATGGGCTGATAACATTCAGGGACTATCTCCCAGCCCTGCTCAGGGCCCTCCCAGTGCCCTCAGCCGTCCCTGGGGCCATCCCTCCCCCACACCGGCAAGGGAGGACCTCCAGCCCATCCCTGGGGACCAGGACACCTCGGGGGCCCCCAGCTCTCACGGTGGCGGCTGCCTGCAGGACCCCGGGGAGCAGCAGGGAGGGCGCAGGGCAAAGTGCTGTTTTTGCAGACAGGCTGAGCTGGGCTGGGCTGGGCTGGATTGGCCTTGTTTCCCCTGAGACAAACCCGAGGAGGGGGACGTCGGGCTGAGGAGTAGGGGGAGGACATCTTGCCTTTGGTGTCAGTGTCCTCGGGTACCCTCTCCCAGGGGACACGGTCACATGCTGCCTGTCAGGCCCTGGGGCAGCCCGTGCCAGCACACCTGCACAGCGAGGTACCTGCTGCGGGCAGGGAACAGCCCTGTGTCACCAGCACCCAGCGTGGAGCAGGAGACCCAGGGAGGAACAGGCTGTTCCCACCCACTCCCACGTCCGAAGGTGACGTCCACGCATGGTTGCACCAGGCCATCTGGAAGGACGCCACCAGTAGCACAACCCCTGGGGACTGCAGGTGACCCTGATGGTTTTCACAGCTCACCAGCTCCTGGGGAGCATGTTTTACCTAGCCCTGACCCACCCCTGGGCCCAATCCCCCACACCCCTTGGCCCGATCCCCCATCCTGAGGCGGGCATCCTGGGTTTGGCCAGCTCCTGGTTCCTGCAAAGGGCACATTGTCCATGCCAGGGCCACATTTGCCACCACCCATGAGGCAGAGTGAAGCAGGCCCCCC